CACACAGACATACAGACGCACCCAGACAGACGGGAACAACCATCTGTCATAATTTATTTCAATATTAAATATAGACCAACGGACAGATGTTTTGCCCCGATATTGAATGACCTCTTAATATGAACCCTTGTGTTCAGTAATTCCCGCGCGTGTAAGAGCAGGCAGGGTGAACACACAACAACAAGAGTCGTGAATTTAGAACAAAATAACTACGCAGGCAGTTCGCCTCTTCCTTCCTATATCTGCCCCTCCACATAAAACTAGATACAAGTACAATTTACACATCCCATCAGCCACGTGGCTTTATAGGAGTGCATCGTTTCAACAGCATTGGTTGAATACAAGAAAACTCTGGACCAGATTCGGGACTCAGTTACAGAACCAGTGCTGATGAACTGCCATGTGTTTATAGACAAGGGCCCTCTCTCTGTTAGATGTGGGTCTTAGGTTGACGTAAAAAATATTTAATACACACCACATATGAATCTTAAACTTTCACAGAGACCCAGAGACTCACACAGACACCCAGAGAGACTCACACAGAGACCCAGAGACTCACACAGAGATCGAAAGACTCACACAGAGACCCAGAGACTCTCACACAGATACCCAGAGCCTCTCACACAGAGACCCAGAGACTCACACAGAGACCCAGAGAGACTCACACAGAGACCCAGAGACTCACACAGAGACCCAGAGAGACTCACACAGAGACCAAGAGAGACTCACACAGAGACGCAGAGACTCACACAGAGACACAGAGACTCACACAGAGACCCAGAGAGACTCACAGAGAGACCCAGAGAGACTCACACAGAGACCCAGAGACTCACACAGAGACCCAGCGACTCACACAGAGACCCAGAGACTCACACACAGAGACTCTGAGACTCTCACACAGAGACTCTCACACAGAGACCCAGAGATTCTCACACAGAGACCCAGAGAGACTCACACAGAGACCCAGACAGACTCACACAGAGACCCAGAGACTCACACAGAGGCCCAGTGACTCACACAGAGACCGAGAGACTCACACAGAGACCCAGAGACTCACACAGAGACCCAAAGAGACTCACACAGAGACCCAGAGAGACTCACACAGAGACCCAGAGAGACTCACACAGAGACACTCACACAGACACAGAGAGACTCACACAGAGACCCAGAGACTCACGCAGAGACCCAGAGACTCACACAGAGACCCAGAGACTCTCACACAGAGACTCTGAGACTCTCACACAGAGACCCAGAGAGACTCACACAGAGACCCACACAGAGACCCAGAGACTCACACAGAGACCCAAAGAGACTCACACAAGACCCAGAGACTCACACAGAGATACAGAGACTCTCACACAGAGACTCTCACACAGAGACCCAGAAACTCAGAGACTCACACAGAGACCCAGAGACTCACACAGAGACCCAGAGAGACCCAGAGAGACTCACACAGAGACCCAGAGAGACTCACACAGAGACCTAGAGACTCACACACAGAAACCCAAAGAGACTCACACAGAGACCGAGAGACTCACACAGACACCCAGAGAGACGCACAAAGAGACCCAAAGAGACTCACACAGAGACCCAGAAACTCGCACAGAGACCCATAGAGACTCACACACAGACACACACACACGCACACAGAGACACACACACACGCACACAGAGACACACACACGCACACAGAGACACGCACACGCACTCGCATCGAACCAATGCTGGTGAATCGCCAGATGTTCATGGGCAAGGACCCTCTCGTTAGATATGGGTCAGGTACTGATGTGGATTTTGCAGAAGAAAGCGATGGATAGATGTTGGCTTCTGGTCAATGGATGTTAAATATCCCGTGACGTCAATTGCAGGGCCATGTGTGACGGCATCACGGACCTAAAACGTGTATACGGCCCCTTCTGCATTGCAGCGAGATAGAGGCCATGATGAGCGGTTAGTTCGAGCAAGGATCAGTTGTGAGCACACCGCGCTACGAAACCCAGCCACCCGAGTTGCATTCCCATGCACGGCTAGTATCAGTGGCGCGTGGCGTCCGAAGCGGTTCGTCACCAGTCCCTGGTGTTGCATTGTGGGCCAACGACACTCCGGGCTGACGTCCGTGTGGGGAGGCCTTGATCCGACAGTGAATTTGGCAAGTGGCCTTGATTAATTTATGATTAATTTATGATTAATTTATGATTGTTCTTATTGCTATTCCTGCAGTTGTTGCAAATAGCGACGTCCTTATATATGCAAAAAAAAACAAACCACACAACGCACGGAGCCAATTTACATATTTTGTCGAAGGTCAGTGTCAAATTTTCATTTCCCGTGATGCAAACGAAACGCAATTTGAAAAAAACATTTTATAAATAAACAAACGCGCCCTTCATCAACGCCGCTAAATGTCACGTACGACACGGCGCCGCTGACGCCTCGCCGGGCTCGAGCGCCGATCGATGGGGTGGTGGGGGGTGGTAGGGAGTGGTGGGGGGTGGTAGGGGATGGTGGGGGGGAGCTCAGGACTCTTGGACCCCCACGACAGACGGGGTGGGCGGGTGGGTCGGTGCGTGGGTGGGTGGGAGGAAGAGGGAAGATGAAATGGGAGAGGCAGGAGAGGAGAGTGCGAGGAGCGGAGAGTGGAGTACGAGATGAAAGGGAGCAGGCAGAGAAGAGTGCTGTGGGAGGGGGAGCGTGGAGTGAGATGAGAGGGAGAGCGTAGGAGAGTGCGTGGAGGGGAGTGGAGTGAATGAAGAGGGAGAGGCAGGAGAGTGCGTGAGGGGAGTGGAGTGAGATGGAGGGAAGGGAGAGTGCGGGAGAGTGGTGTGAGTGAGAGGGGAGGGAGATGAGAGGGGAGAGGAGTGAGAGTGCGGGAGGGAGTGTGTGAGGATGAGTGGGTGAGAGGCAGGAAGTGCGTGGAGGGAGTGGAGTGAGATGAAAGGGGAGAGGCAGGAGAGTGCGTGGAGGGGAGTGGAGTGAGATGAGAGGGGAGAGGCAGGAGATTTCTGCTTGGAGGGGGGGATGTGAGATGAGAGGGGATGGTGGGTAGGAGAGTGCGTGGAGGGGAGGTGGAGTGAGATGAGAGGGAGAGGCAGGAGAGTGCGTGGAGGGGAAGTGGAGTGAGATGAGAGGGGAGAGGCAGCAGAGTGCGTGGAGGAGTGGATGGATGGAGCAGGAGAGTGCGTGGAGGAAAGTGGAGTGAGATGAGAGGGGAGAGGCAGCAGAGTGCGTGGAGGGGAGTGGAGTGAGATGAGAGGGCAGAGGCAGGAGAGTGCGTGGAGGGGAGTGGAGTGAGATGAGAGGCAGGAGCGTGCGTGGTGGGGAGTGGAGTGAGATGAGAGGGGAGAGGTAGGAGAGTGCGTGGAGGGGAGTAGAGTGAGATGAGAGGGGAGAGGCAGGAGCGTGTGTGGTGGGGAGTGGAGTGAGATGAGAGGGGAGAGGCAGGAGCGTGTGTGGAGGGGAGTGGAGTGAGATGAGAGGGGAGAGGCAGGAGCGTGCGTGGAGGGGAGTGGAGTGAGATGAGAGGCAGGAGCGTGCGTGGAGGGGAGTGGAGTGAGATGAGAGGCAGGAGCGTGCGTGGAGGGGAGTGGAGTGAGATGAGAGGGGAGAGGCAGGAGATTGCGTGGAGGGGAGTGGAGTGAGATGAGAGGGGAGAGGCAGGAGAGTGCGTGGAGGGGAGTGGAGTGAGATGAGAGGCAGGAGCGTGCGTGGAGGGGAGTGGAGTGAGATGAGAGGGACCCACATTCAAATTCCAGTCTCAAAATCCCCCACAGCGTCGTACACGGCTACATTAGCGGGAGAAATGAATTCAAATCACCCAATTAATTTGACATATTCCGCGCTGTTCTGTGCGGCGCCCTTTGACCGCAGTGCCATAGCACAGAGGCCTCGCGAATGGGGGCCCAGTCTGGGGATTATGCAAATGCGGCGTTTTTTTCTTCCCGGGAAACCGGTCCAATTAACGGCACTCTAATTGGGTATTTAACGTACAGACCTGGCGCATTCTCTCCCCACAGCCCCCGGCCCCCATCAACGCCCGCGCCACACGTGGCTTCTTCGCTCGACCGCTCGCCACGGAGCTCGCGTTGAGCACCGCGACTCGGATGGGCGCTTTGTGTTGTGCATTTTATAACTGCGTTTGAATCACCTTCACCATCACCGCCATCATCATCGTCACCACCAACATCTGCATCATGTAATTTACAACTCTGGGTGTAGTTGATGATTCGACCCATCACCACCACCAATGCCGAAGGCTGGAGACACTGCAGATGTAATAGCACGCAGAGGTGTGGCTGAGTCGGTTGAGTGGGTGAGTGCGTGGGTGAGTGAGTGGTTGTGACCTGTGGTGGTGGTGGTGTTTGAACACAATGTGGATGGAACAGTCAGAGTCGCGTAACCCGAGTCCAGAACGCTGGTGGAGGAATCAATGACTGAAATTCATGAGAACAGTAACCAGGCAGTAGCCATATTAGAGTGAGAAGGAGGCATCCGGCCGCCGATGAATCAGTGAGTTCAAGATCAACAATCACCACAACTGCCGCTTCACTCTGAATTCTAACCACGGCAACAGTATGGTGGGAACAAGGTGACAGCAGCAGCAGGGCTCTGCCTTTGTTCACGTGTAAGAGAGAATGAAAAGAACACGTTGGTTAGAGAACATACGCAGCTTCGTGACATCATCCAAACATGGAAGGGGAAGTGAATAGGGCTTGGGCAGCAGCACGCGTCTCGGCTGGTGAGGACGATGATGGCCGATGGTCGAGACTAAAAACGGAGTGGAAGTTGAGAGGGGTCAATCCACCGCGAAGACGGAGCAGTGAAATCAGCTCGTGGTGATGCGCAGAGCGGTTGCTGGGCAGATTGTCACTTCGCAGGATTCTGAAAGGTGGCAGCGGCTTGTGGAGGGAGGCCTTCATCCAGCAGTGGATTGATCCTGGCTGCTGCTGCTGCTGCTGATGATGGTGGTGGTATTGTTTGTGCCACGTGTCGTTCCCACGCAGCACCGCCACTCAGCGCCTCCATCCCCACAGCCGCGCCGATGGATGACGCATCTGCGCTACTCGCTTCCGCTGTTCCGGCGAGCACCGGCTCCGGTGAGTCTGCCCGTCGCCTCACCCACTCACCCAGCTACCCAGCCAGCCACCCACTCAGCTACCCATCCATCCACCCACCTAGCCAGCCAGCCAGCCATCTACCCAGCCAGCCACCCAGCCAGCCACTCAGCTACCCACCCAGCCATCTACTCAGCCACCCAGCCAACTACTCAGCCACCCAGCCATCTACCCACCCAGCCACCCACTCGGCTACCCAGCGAGCCACCTAGCCAGCCACCCAGCCAGCCACCCAGCCATCTACCCAGCCAGCCACCCAGCCAGCCAGCCACCCAGCCACTCAGCCAGCCACCCAGCCAGCCAGCCACTCAGCTACCCATCCACCCATCTACCCAGCCACCCAGCCATCTACCCACCCAGCCACCCAGCCATCTACCCAGCCATCTACTCAGTCACCCACCTAGCCAGCCACCAAGCCATCTACCCAGCCACCCAGCCATCTACCCACCCAGCCACCCAGCCATCTACCCAGCCACCCAGCCACCCAGCCATCTACCCAGCCACCCAGCCATCTACTCAGTCACCCACCTAGCCAGCCACCCAGCCATCTACTCAGCCACCAAGCCATCTACCCAACCACCCCAGCCATCTATCTAGCCACCCAGCCAGCCACCCAGCTAGCCACCCAGCCAGCCATCTACGCACCCAGCCACCCAGTCATATACCCAACCACCCAGCCATCTACCCAGCCACCCAGCCAGCCACCCAGCCACCGAGCCACCCAGCCATCTACTCAGCCACCCAGCCATCTACCCAACCACGCCAGCCATCTACTCAACCACCCAGCCATCTACCCAGCCAGCCACCCAGCTAGCCACCCACCCACCTAGCCAGCCACCCAGCCATCTACCCAGCCACCCAGCCATCTACCCAGCCATATATCTCCCCACCCACCTAGCCAGCCACCCAGCCATCTACCCAGCCACCCAGCCATCTCCCCACCCAGCTAGCCACTCACCCAGCAAGAAACGCAGCCATCCCACTCAGCCAGTCAGCGCGTGGCACGGCAGGGTGACGCAGTGGGAAAGGAGAAGGCCTTCAGCAAAACATTGAGAGGCAACCGAAAATATCACAATGGGGCCGCACACAGGAGTGACATTGCCTTGTTCAGCACTTTGGAATAACAACGACAACAACAACGCAATTGACCTTGGAAAGTTTCACGCTCCTCAAGACTTTTTGTCAAGAGGGTTCTGCAGCGTTGGGATGATTGGCCATTTCCATTCATGGCGAGTGTGTGGCTGACTGCCTCTCTGTCCGCAAAAGATGTCTGTTGTGTCACTGCAGGTGAGATGTAAATGCCATGTGAATCTACAACGAATTGTATTGACCCACAGAGACCCAAAGACTCACATATAGACCTATAGACCACACACGTGTGCGTACACACACGTGTCTCACTCTCACCTCCGCTTCATCTCTCCGCAGGCAAGAGGTGGAGAATATGACTTCCAAGGTAACGACATTTAATTCCTCACCTCATTCATTCCTGACTCTTTCACCTATTCACTCCTCATTCCCTTGACATCCTGGACACACGAGATTTGTCTTACGAAGGAATCTCTGGGTAAAATATTTGAATAGATAAAATGTTTACTGGTTCATACATGTTTCATTTATAATTCCTGATTAATTCATTCTACATTAACAAATATGAATCGATCATTCATTATTCAATACATCCTCATTAATTCTCCATGTATTCCTCATTAATTCATTACTCATTCAAAATCTGAAAATGTAAGACTCAACTGCCGTGGTTTTAGCCGATGGCTACTCTGGCCGTCACCTCCTCCCGTGCCTCCCCCATCACCCCCTATGCCCCCCCCGCCGCCACACCCCCGCATCGCCCTCGGCACCACTCCACGAGATTTCCGAAGGGATTCTCCCATCGCGTGGCCACTGCCAGCACCACCGCGGTGGTCGCATGAAGCCACTCCGGGAGACCTACCAGCGGATTCCTTACCACCATGCCAGGATGGCCCACAGCGCGATTGGAATGCATGATTTTGACGGAACGTAACAAAAACTAACAGTAAGAAAATGGTTTGACGGCAACGTGCCGAGCTCACGGTTGTCGCGACGTGGTCACCGGGCAGACACCTGGCGGAACCTGTACGAGATCAACCGGCGCGCGCTGCCGCACGAAACGCCGGTGTACAACAGCCTGTACGAGGACCCCGAGGAGGTGCGAGGGCGCGGCATGTTCCTGCAGCGCGAGCGCCTCACCCTCGACTGCGGCAACCAGCTGGGCTCCGGCAACTTCGGCGCCGTCCTGCGCGGCATCTACAAGTTCCAGAAGTAGGGCCCTCGCGCACCCGCGCGGGCGCCAGTGTGGGCGTGCGAGCGAGCTTGCGAGCGCGTGCCTGTAGCCCTGGTGAGCGTGTGCGCGCGTGGAGTGGTGGCACGGCGGTTAGCGCACTGTGCTACGGACCCGGCCACCTGAGTTTGAATCTACCCTTATGGCCTCCACCCAGGTTGACTGCAATGGTGCAGTGTGTAAATATCAGCACTGGGGAGACAAAGGCGGCCGGGCGTAGTGCTGGCCACACCCCCCCCCCCTCGTATGCCGTGCGGGACTAAATAGGCGCTCACTAACAGCACTTGCCCAAACAGTCTGTTAAGTCTATAACGGGGAAATCTTGGTCTGTGTGATTGTGCGATGCGCGGGTCCCCGTGTCTCCCACCTGCTCACCCTCTCGCGTGCCCTCCCCACGTCTCGTCACTTCTCCGGCGAGCAGGAAGGAGGTGCAGGTGGCCGTGAAGGTCCTCAAGCCCGTGGAGAACCAGGAGATGCTGAAGATCGAGCTGATGAAGGAGGCGGAGCTGATGCACCAGCTGGACCACCCGTACATCGTGAGGATGTTCGGGGTGTGCGAGGGAGAGGCGCTCATGCTCGTCATGGAGGTCGCCTACCTGGGCCCCCTCAACAAGTACCTCAAGGAGCACAAGTGCGTGGTGGGGCGCGGCGTGACGCGGCGCGACTCGACAGTGTAGTCCGGGGGGTCCCGACGTGACGGCGCGATGACCCCGGCGCGGCGTCGCCGTTGGGCGGTTTCCCACGTTCGGGCCTCGGCGGCCACGGCTGCGTTCCGTGGGAGACGTTCAAACGATGAAAATCGGTGCACCACCCCTGGCACAGCAGGGTTCACAGAGGGCGAGTCGTGGCCAGATGGGGCCAGCCCCAGCCAGTGCCAGCCCCAGCCAGTGCCAGCACGCTGCGCCATCACCCACGTCGGTGGCCCCACCGCTGACGCCGTACGAACCACGTGGGCCACGCGTTCGGGATGCCAACCGTGCGCTGCCCACAGGAGCCGTCTATGCCAGGGGGCACGCCGGGGCACCACGTGGTGCAACGCGAAGTGACTCGTCATTCGTCCTTCCTCCCCCTCCTCCCTGCCTCCTACCTTCATCCTCCATCTCATTGTTCTCCATGTCTTCCTCTTTTCTTCTCCTGCCTACTCCGTCCTCCCCCATCTCCCTCCATGTTCGTGTTCTACTCCCTCCTCCTCAACCCTGTCCCGTCGCTCGGCAGAGAGACGATGTCATCGACTCACCTGGCGGAGCTGATGCACCAGGTGTCAGACGGCATGAAGTACCTGGAGGAGCGCAGCTTCGTGCACCGCGACCTGGCGGCGCGTAACGTGCTGCTGGTGAGCGAGCGCTACGCCAAGATCAGCGACTTCGGCCTCTCCAAGGCCCTGGCGGCCGGAGAGAGCTACTACAAGGTGAGCCGCGGCCAGCGCTGACCCCTCGTCGCTGGATTATGTTGGGCTGTGGCCGTCGCTGGTGGCCCACCGTCTACTGCCCCTCCAGATGGCTCAACGGTGGAGCGAGTGGCTCGCAATAGGAAGGTCGAGAGGTCAAAGCCCCGTTGGGGGATTGAACTCAGTCCATCATCGTCAGCTCTCCAGGGTCGATAAAACAATGATTCTGCTTGTAAGCCCAGGAAGGCATCATTGAGTCTCAACCCTTGCGCCGGAGGGTCCTGCCAAGTTTTTTTTTAAGTAGGAGGCGACGGCTGCTGCTGCTGCTACTGCTGCTGCTACGTGTCATTCTAATTAAGTTGACTTGCGGTGTCGTTTTTCCAATTTGCCACATTTTGGACCGTCACACTGGTCAGCGAAGGCCCAATCTTCTCAGCATCTCGGGAACTCTGACGTCCACCGCGAGGGACGTAGGCCAATGCACGCGCCGCAGCCGTATTAACCGGGGGGGCGGCCAGCCCCGATTCCAACCGCAAACTCCCCGCAAGGAGCGGCGTGAGTGGACGCGATCGCCGGTGACCTCCATCCAGCAGCGGATAGATGGCGGCGGGTGACGCGGGGCGCTCCGTGCGGTTGCAGGCAAAGGTGTCGGGCAAGTGGCCGCTCAAGTGGTATGCGCCCGAGTGCATCCAGCACTTCGAGTTCTCCAGCAAGGGCGACGTGTGGAGCTTCGGGGTCACCATGTGGGAGACCTTCACCTACGGGGACCGGCCCTACAAGGTGGGGGGCGCGTGTGTGTGTGTACGTGCGCGCGTACATGGAGAGCGGTCGCGTGGTGGGGAGCGGCGCTGCGCTATGAACCCGGCGATCCGAGTTCGATTCCCGCTCGCGGCCACCAACGCCTGCGACGATGGTCTGAACTGGACCTGGGGCCTCTCCTAGGTCGACTCAGCCTCAAATGAGTACCTTGTGTGTTGTGTAAACATCGCCACTAGGGAGACAAAGGCTGCCGGGCATGGGGCTGGTCACTGCCCCCGCGCCCCTCCTCCCCCCCACCTGTCACAACCACACATCCGTTGTGGCGGTGGCGTGGTTGTGACGAGTGTTGTGGCGGTGGCGTGGTTGTGACGAGTGTTGTGGTGGTGGTGTGGTTGTGACGAGTGTTGTGGCGGTGGCGTGGTTGTGACGAGTGTTGTGGCGGTGGCGTGGTTGTGACGAGTGTTGTGGCGGTGGCATGGTTGTGACGAGTGTTGTGGCGGTGGCGTGGTTGTGACGAGTGTTGTGGCGGTGGCGTGGTTGTGACGAGTGTTGTGGCGGTGGTGTGGTTGTGACGAGTGTTGTGGCGGTGGTGTGGTTGTGACGAGTGTTGTGGCGGTGGCGTGGTTGTGACGAGTGTTGTGGCGGTGGCGTGGTTGTGACGAGTGTTGTGGCGGTGGCGTGGTTGTGACGAGTGTTGTGGCGGTGGTGTGGTTGTGACGAGTGTTGTGGCGGTGGCGTGGTTGTGACGAGTGTTGTGGCGGTGGAGTGGTTGTGACGAGTGTTGTGGTGGTGGAGTGGTTGTGACGAGTGTTGTGGCGGTGGCGTGGTTGTGACGAGTGTTGTGGCGGTGCTGTGGTTGTGACGAGTGTTGTGGCGGTGGCGTGGTTGTGACGAATGTTGTGGCGGTGGAGTGGTTGTGACGAGTGTTGTGGTGGTGGAGTGGTTGTGACGAGTGTTGTGGCGGTGGAGTGGTTGTGACGAGTGTTGTGGCGGTGGAGTGGTTGTGACGAGTGTTGTGGCGGTGGCGTGGTTGTGACGAGTGTTGTGGCGGTGGCGTGATTGTGACGAGTGTTGTGGTGGTGGCGTGGTTGTGACGAGTGTTGTGGTGGTGGAGTGGTTGTGACGAGTGTTGTGGCGGTGGAGTGGTTGTGACGAGTGTTGTGGTGGTGGAGTGGTTGTGACGAGTGTTGTGGCGTGGTTGTGACGAGTGTTGTGGCGGTGGCGTGGTTGTGACGAGTGTTGTGGCGGTGGAGTGGTTGTGACGAGTGTTGTGGTGGTGGAGTGGTTGTGACGAGTGTTGTGGCGGTGGAGTGGTTGTGACGAGTGTTGTGGCGGTGGAGTGGTTGTGACGAGTGTTGTGGCGGTGGCGTGGTTGTGACGAGTGTTGTGGTGGTGGCGTGGTTGTGACGAGTGTTGTGGTGGTGGAGTGGTTGTGACGAGTGTTGTGGCATGGTTGTGACGAGTGTTGTGGCGGTGGAGTGGTTGTGACGAGTGTTGTGGCGGTGGAGTGGTTGTGACGAGTGTTGTGGCGGTGGAGTGGTTGTGACGAGTGTTGTGGCGGTGGAGTGGTTGTGACGAGTGTTGTGGTGGTGGCGTGGTTGTGACGAGTGTTGTGGCGGTGGCGTGGTTGTGACGAGTGTTGTGGCGGTGGAGTGGTTGTGACGAGTGTTGTGGCGGTGGAGTGGTTGTGACGAGTGTTGTGGCGGTGGCGTGGTTGTGACGAGTGTTGTGGTGGTGGTGTGGTTGTGACGAGTGTTGTGGTGGTGGTGTGGTTGTGACGAGTGTTGTGGCGGTGGAGTGGTTGTGACGAGTGTTGTGGTGGTGGAGTGGTTGTGACGAGTGTTGCGGTGGTGGCATGGTTGTGACGAGTGTTGTGGCGGTGGAGTGGTTGTGACGAGTGTTGTGGTGGTGGCGTGGTTGTGACGAGTGTTGTGGCGGTGGCGTGGTTGTGACGAGTGTTGTGGCGGTGGTGTGGTTGTGACGAGTGTTGTGGCGGTGGCGTGGTTGTGACGAGTGTTGTGGCGGTGGAGTGGTTGTGACGAGTGTTGTGGTGGTGGAGTGGTTGTGACGAGTGTTGTGGCGGTGGCGTGGTTGTGACGAGTGTTGTGGCGGTGCTGTGGTTGTGACGAGTGTTGTGGCGGTGGCGTGGTTGTGACGAATGTTGTGGCGGTGGAGTGGTTGTGACGAGTGTTGTGGTGGTGGAGTGGTTGTGACGAGTGTTGTGGCGGTGGAGTGGTTGTGACGAGTGTTGTGGCGGTGGAGTGGTTGTGACGAGTGTTGTGGCGGTGGCGTGGTTGTGACGAGTGTTGTGGCGGTGGCGTGATTGTGACGAGTGTTGTGGTGGTGGCGTGGTTGTGACGAGTGTTGTGGTGGTGGAGTGGTTGTGACGAGTGTTGTGGCGGTGGAGTGGTTGTGACGAGTGTTGTGGTGGTGGAGTGGTTGTGACGAGTGTTGTGGCGTGGTTGTGACGAGTGTTGTGGCGGTGGCGTGGTTGTGACGAGTGTTGTGGCGGTGGAGTGGTTGTGACGAGTGTTGTGGTGGTGGAGTGGTTGTGACGAGTGTTGTGGCGGTGGAGTGGTTGTGACGAGTGTTGTGGCGGTGGAGTGGTTGTGACGAGTGTTGTGGCGGTGGCGTGGTTGTGACGAGTGTTGTGGTGGTGGCGTGGTTGTGACGAGTGTTGTGGTGGTGGAGTGGTTGTGACGAGTGTTGTGGCATGGTTGTGACGAGTGTTGTGGCGGTGGAGTGGTTGTGACGAGTGTTGTGGCGGTGGAGTGGTTGTGACGAGTGTTGTGGCGGTGGAGTGGTTGTGACGAGTGTTGTGGCGGTGGAGTGGTTGTGACGAGTGTTGTGGTGGTGGCGTGGTTGTGACGAGTGTTGTGGCGGTGGCGTGGTTGTGACGAGTGTTGTGGTGGTGGTGTGGTTGTGACGAGTGTTGTGGTGGTGGTGTGGTTGTGACGAGTGTTGTGGCGGTGGAGTGGTTGTGACGAGTGTTGTGGTGGTGGAGTGGTTGTGACGAGTGTTGCGGTGGTGGCGTGGTTGTGACGAGTGTTGTGGTGGTGGAGTGGTTGTGACGAGTGTTGTGGTGGTGGAGTGGTTGTGGCGAATGTTGTGGCGTTGGAGTGGTTGTGACGAGTGTTGTGGTGGTGGAGTGGTTGTGACGAGTGTTGCGGTGGTGGCGTGGTTGTGACGAGTGTTGTGGCGGTGGAGTGGTTGTGACGAGTGTTGTGGCGGTGGCGTGGTTGTGACGAGTGTTGTGGTGGTGGAGTGGTTGTGACGAGTGTTGTGGTGGTGGTGTGGTTGTGACGAGTGTTGTGGTGGTGGAGTGGTTGTGACGAGTGTTGTGGTGGTGGAGTGGTTGTGACGAGCGTTGTGGCGGTGGAGTGGTTGTGACGAGTGTTGTGGTGGTGGCGTGGTTGTGACGAGTGTTGTGGTGGTGGTGTGGTTGTGACGAGTGTTGTGGTGGTGGCGTGGTTGTGACGAGTGTTGTGGTGGTGGTGTGGTTGTGACGAGTGTTGTGGCGGTGGAGTGGTTGTGACGAGTGTTGTGGTGGTGGAGTGGTTGTGACGAGTGTTGTGGCGTGGTTGTGACGAGTGTTGTGGTGTGGTTGTGACGAGTGTTGTGGTGGTGGCGTGGTTGTGACGAGTGTTGTGGCGGTGGAGTGGTTGTGACGAGTGTTGTGGTGGTGGAGTGGTTGTGACGAGTGTTGTGGTGGTGGAGTGGTTGTGACGAGTGTTGTGGTGGTGGTGTGGTTGTGACGAGTGTTGTGGTGGTGGAGTGGTTGTGACGAGTGTTGTGGTGGTGGCGTGGTTGTGACGAGTGTTGTGGTGGTGGCGTGGTTGTGACGAGTGTTGTGGCGGTGGAGTGGTTGTGACGAGTGTTGTGGTGGTGGAGTGGTTGTGACGAGTGTTGTGGTGGTGGAGTGGTTGTGACGAGTGTTGTGGCGGTGGCGTGGTTGTGACGAGTGTTGTGGTGGTGGAGTGGTTGTGACGAGTGTTGTGGTGGTGGTGTGGTTGTGACGAGTGTTGTGGTGGTGGCGTGGTTGTGACGAGTGTTGTGGCGGTGGAGTGGTTGTGACGAGTGTTGTGGCGGTGGAGTGGTTGTGACGAGTGTTGTGGCGGTGGAGTGGTTGTGACGAGTGTTGTGGTGGTGGAGTGGTTGTGACGAGTGTTGTGGTGGTGGAGTGGTTGTGACGAGTGTTGTGGTGGTGGTGTGGTTGTGACGAGTGTTGTGGTGGTGGCGTGGTTGTGACGAGTGTTGTGGCGGTGGAGTGGTTGTGACGAGTGTTGTGGTGGTGGCGTGGTTGTGACGAGTGTTGTGGTGGTGGTGTGGTTGTGACGAGTGTTGTGGTGGTGGCGTGGTTGTGACGAGTGTTGTGGCGGTGGAGTGGTTGTGACGAGTGTTGTGGTGGTGGAGTGGTTGTGACGAGTGTTGTGGTGGTGGTGTGGTTGTGACGAGTGTTGTGGCGGTGGCGTGGTTGTGACGAGTGTTGTGGCGGTGGAGTGGTTGTGACGAGTGTTGTGGTGGTGGAGTGGTTGTGACGAGTGTTGTGGCGGTGGAGTGGTTGTGACGAGTGTTGTGGCGGTGGAGTGGTTGTGACGAGTGTTGTGGCGGTGGCGTGGTTGTGACGAGTGTTGTGGTGGTGGCGTGGTTGTGACGAGTGTTGTGGTGGTGGAGTGGTTGTGACGAGTGTTGTGGCATGGTTGTGACGAGTGTTGTGGCGGTGGAGTGGTTGTGACGAGTGTTGTGGCGGTGGAGTGGTTGTGACGAGTGTTGTGGCGGTGGAGTGGTTGTGACGAGTGTTGTGGCGGTGGAGTGGTTGTGACGAGTGTTGTGGTGGTGGCGTGGTTGTGACGAGTGTTGTGGCGGTGGCGTGGTTGTGACGAGTGTTGTGGCGGTGGAGTGGTTGTGACGAGTGTTGTGGCGGTGGAGTGGTTGTGACGAGTGTTGTGGCGGTGGCGTGGTTGTGACGAGTGTTGTGGCGGTGGCGTGGTTGTGACGAGTGTTGTGGTGGTGGTGTGGTTGTGACGAGTGTTGTGGTGGTGGTGTGGTTGTGACGAGTGTTGTGGCGGTGGAGTGGTTGTGACGAGTGTTGTGGTGGTGGAGTGGTTGTGACGAGTGTTGCGGTGGTGGCGTGGTTGTGACGAGTGTTGTGGTGGTGGAGTGGTTGTGACGAGTGTTGTGGTGGTGGAGTGGTTGTGGCGAATGTTGTGGCGTTGGAGTGGTTGTGACGAGTGTTGTGGTGGTGGAGTGGTTGTGACGAGTGTTGCGGTGGTGGCGTGGTTGTGACGAGTGTTGTGGCGGTGGAGTGGTTGTGACGAGTGTTGTGGCGGTGGCGTGGTTGTGACGAGTGTTGTGGTGGTGGAGTGGTTGTGACGAGTGTTGTGGTGGTGGTGTGGTTGTGACGAGTGTTGTGGTGGTGGAGTGGTTGTGACGAGTGTTGTGGTGGTGGAGTGGTTGTGACGAGCGTTGTGGCGGTGGAGTGGTTGTGACGAGTGTTGTGGTGGTGGCGTGGTTGTGACGAGTGTTGTGGTGGTGGTGTGGTTGTGACGAGTGTTGTGGTGGTGGCGTGGTTGTGACGAGTGTTGTGGTGGTGGTGTGGTTGTGACGAGTGTTGTGGCGGTGGAGTGGTTGTGACGAGTGTTGTGGTGGTGGAGTGGTTGTGACGAGTGTTGTGGCGTGGTTGTGACGAGTGTTGTGGTGTGGTTGTGACGAGTGTTGTGGTGGTGGCGTGGTTGTGACGAGTGTTGTGGCGGTGGAGTGGTTGTGACGAGTGTTGTGGTGGTGGAGTGGTTGTGACGAGTGTTGTGGTGGTGGAGTGGTTGTGACGAGTGTTGTGGTGGTGGTGTGGTTGTGACGAGTGTTGTGGTGGTGGAGTGGTTGTGACGAGTGTTGTGGTGGTGGCGTGGTTGTGACGAGTGTTGTGGTGGTGGCGTGGTTGTGACGAGTGTTGTGGCGGTGGAGTGGTTGTGACGAGTGTTGTGGTGGTGGAGTGGTTGTGACGAGTGTTGTGGTGGTGGAGTGGTTGTGACGAGTGTTGTGGCGGTGGCGTGGTTGTGACGAGTGTTGTGGTGGTGGAGTGGTTGTGACGAGTGTTGTGGTGGTGGTGTGGTTGTGACGAGTGTTGTGGTGGTGGCGTGGTTGTGACGAGTGTTGTGGCGGTGGAGTGGTTGTGACGAGTGTTGTGGTGGTGGAGTGGTTGTGACGAGTTTTGTGGTGGTGGAGTGGTTGTGACGAGTGTTGTGGCGGTGGAGTGGTTGTGACGAGTGTTGTGGTGGTGGAGTGGTTGTGACGAGTGTTGTGGTGGTGGAGTGGTTGTGACGAGTGTTGTGGTGGTGGTGTGGTTGTGACGAGTGTTGTGGTGGTGGCGTGGTTGTGACGAGTGTTGTGGCGGTGGAGTGGTTGTGACGAGTGTTGTGGTGGTGGAGTGGTTGTGACGAGTGTTGTGGTGGTGGTGTGGTTGTGACGAGTGTTGTGGTGGTGGAGTGGTTGTGACGAGTGTTGTGGTGGTGGAGTGGTTGTGACGAGTGTTGTGGTGGTGGAGTGGTTGTGACGAGTGTTGTGGTGGTGGTGTGGTTGTGACGAGTGTTGTGGTGGTGGAGTGGTTGTGACGAGTGTTGTGGTGGTGGAGTGGTTGTGACGAGTGTGCTCTGGCCTCTTGCTTGCAGGGCTTCAAGGCAGCCGATCTGGTGGTCTTCCTGAAGGCCGAGAAGAGGCTGGACAAGCCCCCGGGATGCCCTGATGCCATTTACGAGCTCATGCTCAAGACGTGGAACATCGAGTAAGCCGCATTCACTCCCGACGCCTGAGCCACCGTCGTGGAGGAGTAGGCCCATTACCCTCAAGCGTCTCGCCACAGAGAGAATGCAGTGCGCTCATGTCTCACACAGCCCATTGGCCCCGCGGCCTTCCGGGAGTGCAACATTTCAGCAGCGTCGATGCAGCACAAGCAAGTGGTGGTGGATGAGACGAGTGTGATCGAACCGAGTCTTCAATACGGGCGGAGTAATCAATGAGTGAACCACCACCCACCAGCACAAATATTAAGATGCCACCGCCAAGCCTTAACAGACTGTCGAGGCAAGTGCTGTTGTCGGGGTAGCACCTATGAAGGCCGGAATGGCACATGACGGGGTGGGTGGCCAGCACCACGCCCGGGTGCCAGTCACCCTGGTGGCGATGTTGACTACGCATCGGGTGCGGGGATAGAGCGTTGCCCCCTTACGCGAGTCGCGACATTTCCTCTAGGTGGTCCGGTTTCCTCCCACGTGTATGATGAACGCACTCATCACGAGTCGGCTGAAAATATCTTGCAACTAAAAAAAAAACAAATGCAGGCCCCTCTTGGAAAAGAGTCCCATGACTCAATGTGGCTTATTTGGCTGAATAAGTAAAGTACGAATATTATTATTATTATACACTTGAATTCGCAAACTATGGTGGACCGTGATGTCGGCGCAAGGTCGCACGGCGCGGACAGCGGTGACGGCCGTGGTGGGGTTTGGTCTCGTGGGGATGGGAACGCTGAGAACTTTGAGACGCAACGAGTCTGTCCCCGTCTGTGTGACTCGCAGCTCCAACGCTGCCGCCAGATGAAGAGAGGTTGGGTCATGACGACAGCCTCGGAGACGCGCGCACGTGCGTGTGTGGCGTGCGTGTATAAATGCGAGTTTCTGTGCGAGTTTGTGTGCGTATGCGAACGTGTTTGTGTGTGTACGGGCGTGTGTGAGTAAGGCCGTGTGCGCGTTTCAAAATCTGCGCGTGTTACGCGTGTTACATTGCGACTTCTTATCTCGCACTCCGGCACTTTAACCGCACAACCATTCAGCCCCCATTTCCCTCCCCCCACTACCCACCCTCCCCCCCACTACCCCCCCACTACCCACCCACCCAACCGCGCTCCTCCTCACGATGCCCGGGTCCCAGTGCGCTGGCACCAATCGGTGCCCGGGTCCTCTCCGCTCACCGCCTGTGCCCACTCCAGCGCTCTAGAAGTCGCGCTCTCGTTATCGTGGCGCTGCTGCGTCGGCAGTGGTGCACACGAAGCACAAACAGCAACAACAACAACAGCAACAAACAGCAGCAGCAGCAACGCGGGGCAATTGCCCTTGTGCAATTGTGCCATAAAAAAACGGCCATTTCCGGAAACATTTCTGACTGCTGAGCGGCTGTGGCGGCTACGCTGCTGCTGAACGCGGCTGCCTGGAGTAGTGACACAGCGTTGTGTGGTGGATCACACACAGATGGGCTGTGAAACACCCCTCTATCCATGGGTATCGATTAAGAGCCGTACCTTAGCTCGCCAGGATAAGGCGGTACAGCAAGTGGGCTAATCGCCATCTGTTGCCATCTGTACGTGGGGGATAGAGCGTTGCCCCCTTGCACACGGCGTGGGTTTTCTCCGGGTGCTCCGGTGTCCTCCCACACGTGAATGATAATAAACGCACGCACCCACCCCCCACTCACTCGCCGTGGGTTCGGGCTAGGCAACATATCTCACAAGTCACATTGAGCAGCAATTGGATTCTGGACCCTCCACTTGAAACCGCGCCCGGCGTCTTCAGGACAAGACCCAGGAAGTGAGCCTGGATTCATGGATTTTCATTGACTTCGGGTGGTAGTGGCGGTGGAAGGTTTTACAACACAAACTTGGCCAGATCGTCGTGCGGCCTGGGCCAGCAATCGGGAATCTTGACGCTGGCTGTGAACCCTTAGCACGAGTGTGACATTCTCCCCGCAGTGAGTACAAGGAACCAGAGGTGATCCCTGAATTGAATCGCGGCCATGATTGACCCACAAGGAGGAGGCGAGTTGATCATTGCCTGAAATAAATTAGCGACCGCTTACATGTCGTGAACATTGCAAAAACAACGATTTTTGTTTTTGAGACATCTCCTTTACCAGTGGCAAAATATAGTAGTAGGTTTTTACCCTTTCAACTGGTACAAAAACTGACACCTTTATACAAGGCATCATGTTTGCAATAACCACAACACAAGCAGTCAAAATGCAAACAAAAAGAAACAACTAAATACTCTGATAGTGCACTGTCTTTGAGTTGTACGCCGCTTGACGTCATCTGGTCCAACACCAATGGAGACTAGGCTCTAAGAAAAGCTGTCTCGAGTGTGGACCAATCAACTTCAAGGGCAGTGCATATCATTATCATCATCAGAGTTGTTTCTTTTTGTTTGCATTTTGACTGCTTGTGTTGTGGTTATTGCAAACATGATGCCTTGTATAAAGGTGTCAGTTTTTGTACCAGTTGAAAGGGTATAAACCTACTAATAACGATTGGGTTTTTATCGGTGAAAGAACATACCGGAAACTCCCCAAAGGCTGCTCCGGCCACACTGCACGCATCACGATGCTGTTGCACGATGCTGTTGCAACTCTTTCAGGCACATTGTGTCGTCGATAAGACGTCGTGCCAGCTCAACACGCAGTCCGTGATTGGTTGATTGAGCGATGACCCCATCTCATTGAAGCCGCGGTGGGCAGGAGGTGTCGGGGTCAGAGGGGACGATGATAGCCGACGGTCGAGGATGATAACGGAGCGGAGACCGAGGAAGGGATCGCGTTTCTAGAAGACGTGCGCCGTGGAGGAGATGGAACGGTGGAATCGGCTCCTCGAGTGTACAGCAGGAGCTGGGCGGATCGTTACGTTGCATGGCTGGGAGAGGTGGTGGCGGCTTGGCGAGGACGTGGTACATCAGTGGATTGATGATGGCTGACGATGACGATGATGTTGGAGTTGATGCGACCTATTTTGTACCAATCATGTACAGCCAACGTGACGTCGTTTCAATCGATCGGATCGATCAGATTGTCGGGCGATGGATCGGCTGGTAACGTGGACATGCCATCGATTGCACACGTCTTTACAACTCGTGTCAAATTATCGGGACACTTGATAATTGATGCTCTCTGCACTTCTCCCCCCCCCCTCTCCCCCCCTCTCCCTCGCTCCCTCCCTGCCTCCCTCTCTCTCTCTCTGCGTGCCCGTCCACCAGCACCAACCTGAGGCCGTCGTTCTCGGATATTGAGGACGCGCTGGGCAGGTACCTCGCCGGGAAGTGAACCCACGGGGTCATGGAGGAGACTCGTGGAGGAGTCTCACGGAGGACCACGAGTCCCGGAGAGACCCCGTGCGAGATCCCCACCGACGCAACTCCGCACCCCGCACCCCGCACCTTCTCTCTCTCCTCCTCCTCCCGTATGCGACGAGCCGGGGCCGGCGCGGCTCGGGACGCTCCGGGACGCGTTTCCACTGCGTAAACCGAGCCGTGCCGTTTGCGTCGCACGCGACGACAGGCGAGTCGGGACGTGCGTCGGCAGCGCAGCCAATGACGTCGCACGTGGCCAACGCATCGCGAGCCGTCCCCGTGGCCCCGCTCGGCCCCCCGAGCCGGCGTAGCACGGTTTGGTTTCCGGCTCTACAAATAGGCAATGGGAAACCACCCGTGCCGCGAGTGCTCCCGGGCTGGCTCGGCTCGGATGTACCGGTTTTAAAAGAGTGAGTCGCGGTCCGGTCGGCCAAAATCGAGGCTCGCTCGGCCGTCCGAAGAGTTGGGTCACGACGGCTTTGAGCCTGTCGCGCTCTGGGCTCTGCGCGGCAGCTTGTGACGTGGCCCTGGAGAGTCCGTCACGTGCCAAACTGAACGTTCGTGAATGTCAGGGCTGGAAAGTCATCGCAGTCAGGACACAACTCGAATGAGACGGAATCGTGTTGTTCACGTAGTCATTGGTGACCGGCTGATATAACCAACTCACTGCACTTGAGAACCCGGTTTAATCGCAGGTTGTTAATTGGATGGCATCATCAGCTATGGTCTCTCCACTGCTGGATAAATGCTTGTCTACAACATACAGCCTCCTCCACACACCACCCCGACATGCGCACATACACACACACGCAAAAATAACCCCCCCCCCCCCCCGTAGAGCCTTCAGAGGCTGTTGGGGCAAGTGCTGTTAGCGAGCACTTATGAAGGCCGGCACGGCACACGAGGGGGTGGGTGGCAGCACCACGCCCGACCACCTTTGTCTTCCCAGTGGCGATGTTTACACACCGCACCAGGTACTCGTTTGAGACTGAGCCGACCTAGGGGAGGCCCAGAACCGGTTCAGGTAATCGTCACTGGCGTTGGCCGTGAGCGGGAATCGAACTCGGGTGACCGGGTTCGTAGTGCAGCGCGCACACCGCTCCACTACCGCTCCCCACAGACACACTCCAGACACACACTCACACACTCCCCTGACCCTCCACTCTTGTCCCTCTTTACTCGAACACATTCACCGGCAGCTGGGACGCCGCTGTGTCACCCGCGAGGATTCGGCTCCACACACACCGTGTCACACAGATCCGCCTCCTGTGGTGTGGTGGACGTTGTTGTTGTTGTTGTGGCTATTTTTGGTTTTGTTATTGTATGCAGCACGGTTATGGTTGTTCTCATGTCGGTGGTTACGCTGCCGTAACGTAGCAACGGGTCGGTAAGCATCACCCGCTCACCCACCCGCTCACTCACCCACTCACCCACCCGCTCACTCACCCACTCACCCACCCGCTCATTCACCCACCCGCTCACCCACCCGCTCATTCACCCACCCGCTCACTCAGCCGCTCACCCACCCGCTCACTCAGCCGCTCACCCACCCGCTCACCCAGCCGCTCACCCAGCCGCTCACCCAGCCGCTCACCCACCCGCTCACCCAGCCGCTCACCCACCCGCTCACCCAGCCGCTCACCCACCCGCTCACTCAGCCGCTCACCCACCCGCTCACTCAGCCGCTCACCCACCCGCTCACTCAGCCGCTCACCCACCCGCTCACTCAGCCGCTCACCCACCCGCTCACTCAGCCGCTCACCCACCCGCTCACTCAGCCGCTCACCCACCCGCTCACTCAGCCGCTCACCCACCCGCTCACCCAGCCGCTCACCCACCCGCTCACCCACCCGCTCACCCAGCCGCTCACCCACCCGCTCACCCAGCCGCTAACCCATCCCGCTCACCCACCCGCTCACCCAGCCGCTCACCCAGCCCGCTCACCCAGCCGCTCACCCACCCGCTCACCCAGCCGCTCACCCACCCGCTCACCCACCCGCTCACTCAGCCGCTCACCCACCCGCTCACTCAGCCGCTCACCCACCCGCTCACTCAGCCGCTCACCCACCCGCTCACCCAGCCGCTCACCACCCCGCTCACCCACCCGCTCACTCAGCCGCTCACCCCACCCGCTCACTCAGCCGCTCACCCACCCGCTCACCCCACCCCGCTCACTCAGCCGCTCACCCACCCGCTCACTCAGCCGCTCACCCCACCCGCTCCCCAGCCGCTCACCCACCCGCTCACTCAGCCGCTCACCCACCGCTCACTCAGCCGCTCACCCACCCGCTCACTCAGCCGCTCACCCACCCGCTCACTCAGCCGCTCACCCACCCGCTCACTCAGCCGCTCCCCACCCGCTCACTCAGCCGCTCACCCACCCGCTCACTCAGCCGCTCACCCACCCGCTCACTCAGCCGCTCACCCACCCGCCTCACTCAGCCGCTCACCCACCCGCTCACTCAGCCGCTCACCCACCCGCTCACTCAGCCGCTCACCCACCCGCTCACTCAGCCGCTCACCCACCCGCTCACTCAGCCGCTCACCCACCCGCTCACTCAGCCGCTCACCCACCCGCCTCACTCAGCCGCTCACCCACCCGCTCACTCAGCCGCTCACCCACCCGCTCACTCAGCCGCTCACCCACCCGCTCACTCAGCCGCTCACCCACCCGCTCACTCAGCCGCTCACCCACCCGCTCACTCAGCCGCTCACCCACCCGCTCACTCAGCCGCTCACCCACCCGCTCACTCAGCCGCTCACCCACCCGCTCACTCAGCCGCTCACCCACCCGCTCACTCAGCCGCTCACCCACCCGCTCACTCAGCCGCTCACCCACCCGCTCACTCAGCCGCTCACCCACCCGCTCACTCAGCCGCTCACCACCCGCTCACTCAGCCGCTCACCCCCACCCCGCTCACCCCCCCGCTCACTCAGCCGCTCACCCACCGCTCACTCAGCCGCTCACCCACCCGCTCACTCACCAACTCACCCACCCGCTCACTCAGCCTATCACTCAGCCGCTCACCCACCCGCTCACTCAGCCACTCACCCACCCGTTCACTCAGCCACTCACCCACCCGCTCACTCAGCCACTCACCCACCCGCTAACTCAGCCACTCACCCAGCCACTCACCCACCCGCTCACTCAGCCACTCACCCACCCGCTCACTCAGCCACTCACCCACCCAGCTCACTCAGCCACTCACCCACCCACTCACTCAGCCACTCACCCACCCGCTCACTCAGCCACTCACCCACCCGCTCACTCAGCCACTCACCCACCCGCTCACTCAGCCACTCACCCACCCGCTCACTCAGCCACTCACCCACCCGCTCACTCAGCCACTCACCCACCCGCTCACTCACCAACTCACCCACCCGCTCACTCAGCCACTCACCCACCCGCTCACCTCAGCCACTCACCCACCCGCTCACTCAGTCACTCACCCACCCGCTCACTCAGCCACTCACCCACCCACTCACTCAGCCACTCACCCACCCGCTCACTCAAACACTCACCCACCCGCTCACTCAGCCACTCACCCACCCGCTCACTCAGCCACTCACCCACCCGCTCACTCAGCCACGCACCCACCCGCTCACTCAGCCACTCACCCACCCGCTCACTCAGCCATTCACCCACCCGCTCACTCAGCCACTCACCCACCCGCTCACTCAGCCACTCACCCACCCGCTCACTCAGCCACTCGCCCACCCGCTCACTCAGCCACTCACCCACTCGCTCACTCAGCCACTCACCCACCCGCTCACTCAGCCACTCACCCACCCACTCACCCCCTCACCCACCCGCTCACTCACCCACTCACCCACCCGCTTACTCACCAACTCACCCACCCGCTCACTCACCCACTCACCCACCCGCTCACTCACCCACTCACCCACCCGCTCACTCAGCCACTCACCCACTCGCTCACTCAGCCACTCACCCACCCACTCACCCCCTCACCCACCCGCTCACTCACCCACTCACCCACCCACTCACCCACCCACTCACCCCCTCACCCACCCACTCACCCCCTCACCCACCCGCTCACTCACACTCACCCACCGCTCACTCACACCCTCACCCACCGCTCACTCACACCCTCACCCACCGCTCACTCACACCCTCACCCACCCGCTCACTCACACCATCACCCACCCGCTTACTCACCAACTCACCCACCCACTCACTCACCCGCTCACTCACCCGCTCACTCACCCGCTCACTCACCCGCTCACTCACCCGCTCACTCACCCGCTCACTCACCCGCTCACTCACCCACTCACCCACCCGCTCATTCACCCAACCACACGCCCGCTCACTCATTCACTCAGTTACTTATTTTAGCTCACACAATACACTTAAAACGCGACCATGCCCCCCGCCCCCCCCCCCAATAAATGTGCCAAGGGCATCGCATGACCATACTTCCCCCGCACTGGTCAGTGTAAGTTATCTGAACGTGTTCTGGGCGAGCTCAGGACGTTCAGATATCGATCTCGGCCCGTTGTGTTCGTAGCGCAGTGCGCTAACCGCTCCGCCACTGCTCCCCGTTACCCTGTAGATGTTACTTGGCGGCGTTCATGAGTAACTCTGTGATTTTTCAATGGTTGCCAACGTAGTTATATTTTTGTTATTCGATCTCTGCCACGGGTTTTATTTGTTTGTTTTGTAAACGTGTGCTCCGAGTTCAAACAATGCAGGTATAACTTTGTCTGCTTTATATTTATTCGCTCAAAGAGGTATACGATTTTAACTTAACTCGTAGGTTTCCATAACCAGTAGAATCGTCCACATTTGTGTTGGGGTCAAGGCCACGTGTCAGGAATTGTATGCCAAAAACTGTCAGTGGCCCTCCACCATCCGACGAGATTGTCATCTTGACACAGACGAAATCAATTATTGACGCACACGCCGATGCATTGAGCAACTTCTGACCAATACAGCGCCGCCTTCCCCTTCTCCCCCCCCCATCCTCACCCCCCCCCCATCCTCACCCACCTCCCCCCCATCCTCACCCACCCCCCATCATCACCTCCCCCCTCATCCCCCTTCTGCCCCTCGGGACTGCCGTCTCGAGACGTCTGGCGACCGAGACACGTAACGAAGTTTCGCCGATAGCGACGACGTCATCACGCGGCGGTCTTCCCGTCGGGTGGTGGAGGGCTTGACGGCGAAAATCTCGTCGCAAAAACCGCCACCGCGTTGGGCCTGACCCCCAAACAACCACCAATAGGGACCCGGTATAAGATGCGTTACGTATGAGAGTGATGCTACGGTCCCATAGCAATACCCCCCCCCCTACCCTGATCCGTTCTCTGCTTTTACTGTCGCTGTCAACGGCGTCGCGTCCGATGTTTGTGTGCGGCCAGGAAGCTCTCCACTCTCCGATCACTGCCAATTACTCTGCTGGGATCATTTCCCGTCGTTCTCGTCCCCGATCGCACCGCCACCGGCGGCGTCACAGACACGGAAACGCCGCGTGGCAGCACGAACCTCTGCGTTGTTTTGAGTACGGCCCGCAGACGCGGACATCGCAGAGCCACATCTGAGATGCCCGCTTCTTCAGGGGACCTCTAGTCGACGTCGAGTGGACCCGTGGAAGTGGAAGTCACTGAGCTGACTTTGAGATCCCCGCTTGTTCACGTGACCTCTGGCCCACACACAGTAGAGGGCAGCACTTCTCCACCCGCTCTGCCGTACGAGAGTAATGTTCTGTAGAGAACCGGTGTCTGGATTCGCAGTGTCCACGAACGTGATGAATCGCCGGTGGTAGCGCAAGCGTGGTTGTAAAGAATATGAAATAACAAAACAGCTGGGAAGACGATTCGTTTTCCTTCTTCCCATATCCTTCCCCAGCAAGAAAACAAAGTATTTTTACCCATCCCATCAGCCACACGACTTTCCTTCTGGGAGGGCATATCTTGTGGGCGGAATTAGTTCAATACAAGGACAATTCTGGACCGGTTTCGCCATTCGTTGTCTCATCAGCACTGTCAGGTTCGCTTGAACCAAATTCTGGTGAACTGCCAGATGGTTATGGGCAAGGGGTTAGATATAGCTGCTGCTTTGACTCAAAACTATATAAGACACGACACAATATAATGCTAACAAGGACATCGATTTGTAAATGGTGTTTACTTTTTATAATGCTCTACTACTATTACGATATAAAATATATA